GAACAAATGCGGCTGGCGGGATTGGCGCAGTGGACCTGGTGCACACGACTCCACCAGCACAAGACATCGCTCTTCTTGTCATCGAGATCTGCCTGGTGACGACGTCCATGGTACGGTGTGAGTCAAATAGGAGTGGACCAAGATTCACCTATAGGAGTGGTCTTTAGTCTGCAGAATTTCAAGTCTATAAGTGAGTGGATGATGTGACAGCTGACGGGGGCACCCCTATCCTGGCCTATCCTGACTGGCACCCCTATCGCTCTGTGATTCCTGGAAAGGCATCTTCGAAGGTCTCTCCCACGTTTTTGGAGATACCTCTGCGCGTGAGAAGTGGCCAGAGATGACAGGCAAAGAGATCACAGAGATGATCTCGGCGGATGAGAGGAAGACGAAGACAGGGAAGAGGCGTGCTTCACCCCACCATCCGGTACGCCGCCCCGGTCGCAGCGAGCGAAGGATCTTCCGACCGATGCGGACCCGACGGGTCGAAGGGTCAAGCCACGGCATCGCGTGAACGACCTCGCGACATCGAACCGTGCCGGTTCTTGACGAACAAAGCCCCCGTGGCGTGCAACATGGTAAAGCCCTCTTCAAGCTTGGGGGGTTAGGGTTTGATCCAAAGTCTACCTTCGGATTCCCGAAAAAGACTGGCATCGTTCTTCGCACTCTTCAGCTGGGCTGCTTCAGCATGGACGTCGTGACGTCTCCCGCAGGAACAACGCAGCTGAGCAAGGTCCGACATGGCACGCACTGTGCGGAACAACGATGCCAGGTACGGATCCATGGATGGAGTCTTAGATCCGAATTCTTGACCAGGGGTCTCCCACTCTTCAAGATTCCCTAGGGCTCCAGTCGTACCTTCTGAGGTTCGGTGGGACTGGGTGCCAGCTCTCCCCTTGGCAGAGACGGTTAGTACTTGAAGTACAAATACCAAGGCTGGCAAGACTGCAAATGAAGCACAAGCAAGACTGGAGGTGTCTTAGAGGGTGCCCTAGATCTGGGACATGGCAAACAAAATGAAGGAACATAATGAATTACATTGAGGGATATCTACTTCAGCTCGAGCTTCCAGAGTGCTCTGTAGGTTTACCTATATATGGAAAGACGCCATAAGCTCCCCACATCCTGCGGCTTTCACGGCGGTCTGGCTGACTACGCCACCACGACGCACTGCGACTTCTGACCTGGTGACCTGGGTCGCCCCCGTCGAGGGAAGGCGGAGGCGACCAGCTCCAGCTCCTCCATGTTCGGCCGGAACAGTGGCGGGTGACACAAGGAACGTTCCCTGGCACCACGCGGAAGCTCACAAGTTCACATATCTTTTATCTTATTATAGCCGATGGCAGGTCAAAATAATATAAGTTATAACAGCCATCGGCATGAGACAGTCGAGCTCGCAAGTCGATTCGTCTAAAATGCAGCACCCTCCCATGACAAACACCCCTGGCACCTGGACCCCAAGTCCCACCGTACCGACACAGAGGTAGGACTGGAGCCCGAATGGAACAATTCTCAGACCTCACGCTGCGGCGTCAGCGGACCGTTTCATGAAACTTCTATCCATTCCTTAGTCCTGTAAAGTTCTCCTTCCCACCTCAAAACGAGTTCTGATCGAAACCAGCGACCACTGGACCCAAACGTTGTACAGTTGTGCCGCATTCCACTGTGCAGATGTAGGAGTATCGAGGAAGACTTGGTCTCGTTGGACCACTCCTGGTCTGTTGCCGACTCCCAAGCCGACTGACAAAAGAAGGGTGTCCCCCTGGCGGTCGAGGGAACTGCTCATGGAGGTCGAGGGCCCTCTATCCAACACTGGCCGCCAGAGGCCACAATAAAAGAGCAAACCTTTTTTGGGCAGTCATTTTGTAGTATAGTTTGACTTTTTGAACAGCCCAGCCATTTTGGGCAGCCCATCCATTTTGTAGTCAGTTTGTGATTGACCGCAGTCGATGATGTAGCCCAAAAGTGGTAAAACAATGCGCAAGTCAATCTCTAGTGGGAATTTCCACTGCATTTAAGGACACCTTGGTGGTGTAGGCCCCCTTCATGTTGTAGACCTGACACTTGAGCCCCCTCATTTTCTAGACCCTAAACCTCACCCTCTACTGCAAAATGCCATGTACAACGCCACCCGGTCACACGGGGATCGAAAACCATAGACTGGCCTGGGACGATGAACATTCCATCGGGGATGGTCTGCGTAAGGGTGGCCTATAAGCACAATCGCAAACATTATACGAATTGTCCCTAGGGATCCCAATAGCTTCTGGGAATGTAATTGGATCCGTATGCTTTTGCCTGGATCCAAAGCCGACTGACCCTGGATCCATTGCGGCCGTCACCTCTCCGCACCTCTCCGCACCACCGCGACTGGCACCGGTCGTCTACCGAGTGGTGATGAACACCCCCCTGCCCTCCAAGATAGACCCAAATAGACCCACACCATCGATCCGAGCGTCTTCTTTCGGACGGACGTCAGGCGGTTTCCAGCGGCCACGCGGGCCACGCGGTCGCCGGACGGAAGGCCAGACGTCCGACGGTGCGACCTAGAGGTCTCGGTGGTGGTCGCACCCGTGAAGGTGCGGGTGCCCAGTCGTGTCGAGAACTCCTGACAGCATGGCTCCAGTCACTTTCTTTCGTTGCACTGGGGCGGTGGGCCAGGGCCAGGGTCTCAGACCGAATCTGACATACTTGGAGCTGTAGGGTGCGCCCATCGCTGAGTGGGCCATCGGAACTCGGCCCGGCAGGGCGGTCCACCCTGAGGAGCGGTACAAGACACCTCCATCTCAGAGAGGAAACATGGGAAAAGCACGAGCTCATCCAAAGGTTAGGTCGGTGAAGTGACCGGGACCAGTTCGGACCCGGACCACTTGGGGTACCACACTCGGACCCAAAGGCACAGGTGGTGACTGCACTTAAGACTCACAGAAGGTGTTCGACTTCGACACTGTTCTATAGGTTGGGAGGCTCCAGTCGTACCGACCCGGGTCGGTTCGGTACTGGATGTCTATATAGGGACTTCAGAACTCACAGAGGCCATCGTCGGGGCCCGGCCTGGATGGCCCCAGCGTGGCTCCGAGGAATTGGACCGAACTTCGCAGCGAAGCTCACGGGATTCCCGCACCGCCTCCCAAACCGTGGGCCGTTGGGCCCTTGGCGACGCATGCTGCGCGCGAAGCGTTGCTTCGGTCGGGGACTGGGGGGGCGAGGTCCGCCGCCTGAGAGTCATGTCGACATCTGCAGTAAGCATGACCCGTCTAAGCATGACCTGGGTCGTCCGAAGGTCATGTGATTGGTCCAATCTCTTCTGCCTGACGCAATCAAACGCTGTTTCTTAAGCAAACGTTGCGACATGTGTTGTCTTCAATCTGCTTTGTTGCATGTCGATGTTGCGGCTGCGGCTGGCTGCGGCTGGCTGCGGCTATGATACATGTTGTAAAGCGTAGACGTGAAAGACCACGCCCTAAGACAGGGGACCGTCAATTTTGGATCATCTCCACACGAGGTTGGCGCTGGTTGGAGAGGTTGCACACAACATGTTCCACCCTAAGAATCCGGGCCCTCAAACAGATAGGGCTTTGAGGCCCCGGACCCCTGCCATGGAGGGTCCGACCCCTGCCATGGACAGTCCAAGGATTCTTAGGGCAGGTCAAAGACCTCATTTTAATGACGTTGGTCATAGAAAACACGATTCAAGAAGGTAAAAGACCCGGTTTTACCTGGGTCAGACTGGACTTGTAGGGTTCTGCATCGGCGTGAAACACACACTGTTTAGGCGCTTAAAACCACCGCCGTCTGGGATTTGAGATGTTTCTTGCCATGTTCATGGTGCCATTAATTGAAAGAGATGGCGAAGTGACCAAGAAACATGAGCCAATTTGGCCGACAGGCCGTAATGACCAAAACAAATTGAGCGGTGTCAAAAACCATCCGGAACTTTTATTAAGATCATAACAACCTTTCGCCAATCCCTTCGCAACGCTTTCGCGGCTGCATGTTTTGCTTTCGCCGACCCACTTCACCCGACAACCTCTTTAGCTAACCCTTTCGCCGAGCTTCTGCTACTTACATCTAAGAAAAGTATCAGCATGTATCAGCAAAGGGGAATCATTCCTAATCTGCAACCACTGCTTTCGCCACATCTTCGCGAACCTTTCTCCAACCTTTCGCCTGGTTATCATGAATCTTTGGATGACATGCTTTGTACTGAAAACCTCTTCGCCAACCCTTTCGCAACAAAATCCATTCATCAAAAAATCAGAGCCTTTCTCCAAACCTTTCGCCAAGCTTTCCCCAACTGCAGTTTTCCTTTCGCACAGATTCATAATCTTAAGTCCTACCTAGAGGTTTATGACGTTGCTCAATTGTCAATACGGACAAATTTTGGCAGTCATTTGCATCTACAGGAGCTTGCCAAACATTGAGCAGTCGGCCCAAGCCCCCGACTGGTCGGGACAAATGCCGCCGTTTGGTTAGCCTTTGGTGTTGGCCCGGCTACAGCATTTGGAGATGAGTCGGACACAGAGGTACAATTAATGGCCAATCGAACTTAGACTCCTGAAGAATGGATTTTTTATCCCGTCGGTCCGGTCCTTCTACGCTGCCAAGGCCTCTTTTCTCTCTTTCTTGCGATGTTTTCTTTATCTTCTGGCTCGCTCCCGTTTGCTAGCGTCCCTGTACTACGCCTTGGATGCTTTTCCTATCGCAGAACCGAACTCTGAACTGTCGAGCAATGGACTGGAGGAAAGCGCCGGCGGCTCGACTTGGCTTATGCACCGCCACCAAACGGTCGGTGCTCCCACCCAAATCGTGAAAAGGTCCGCGGCCAGCCAGCCACGTTCCGATGTCGGAAGGAGAAGGTGTTAAGCCACCGCAACGCAAAAAAAGACAAACCGGACGCAAAACTTGGCATACTTTGGCTGAACACACCGGGGACACGGGTTTGGCAGTTGGACGAGCCCCTTTTCCGGCTCTTGGACCAAGCATTCTGAACGAGAATGTCCAAATGGTTTCTACCTGACGAAAATTGACATGACATGCAGCAATTCTCGCTCGGATTTTGATTTGCTTAAGGCTTCTTCAACTTCTGGCGGAATTCTAGGTATCTAAGAAGAAACCCTCTGCTTAAAATGTTGAGTGCAACTGGATAGAGCCCGTCAGATTACATTTGAGACAAAAAAGGCACCAACTCTCAAGCGCACCACTCCTCCACAACCAGCAACGGCTGGTAAGTTGACAAGTTTGAAGTTATAGGCGCTTGGTTTGGGTTGCTTCGGGTTGGTTCCTCACCAACACGTCATGTTTCGCTCCTTGGACCAGTTTTGGTTCACCCAGCAGGCACTATTTAGGATCCATGATCCAGCGCTCTGATCACAGTCACCCCAGGCTTTTCAGGGCCGAGACTCGCCTCATGTGGGACTTCTGGACCTATCAGCACGGATGTCGCCCAAGCTTCGGCCGCCCCGTCCGAACTCCCTGCGGCCGCCCCGTTTTGGTCAAGCGGATGGTGCGGCAGCTCACGGCTGATCCGCCAGCGGCGAAGCAGGAGCTCCAGAAGTAGCGTGTTTGGGTGGACATACCACTGGCTCCCAGGTTGAGGTAGCCTGGGAGGCAGAAGAACTCTGAGGTCTCCAAACTGAAGGATCTGTGGGACCGTGTGGGGATCTCGATATATCTCAGGTGCTGAAGGATGGGCTTCGAAGTGGCATGCATACGTAAGACCCCGTATATGACCTGGTCCTGACCACCTCAGGAAGAGTCGTGTTGTTGCAGGACCTACTCCAGGCCTGGCATGCGGTCCACCTGTTCAACCCATGGTTCCACCCGTGCGCAGCCACCTTGGCAAAACCTGGCCCACATGGATGGAACCTCAAGTGCCTGCAGCCCTTTTGAAGCCTCTCAAGGGTGGGAGCCTCTCAAGGGTGGGAACGCTCCGGTCCAGTCGTACCCTCCAAACCGGTTGGGGAGGCAGACTGGACCCGCATTCACCATAGGTCGGACCGCAGAGGGTCCTTGCCCGTTTGGGCTCCTGGCCCATATCCTCAGAAGCTGGTTGGACCCCCCTGGCACCCAACCCAGCCATCTTCTCAGGAGGTGGGCCAGGAGCCCTAGGGTTGGAGGCCTAGGGTTCTAAGCAAATGGTTCTTACAATCAGACCATTGACCTCGAGCTCGCCAGCTCTTAAGCTCTAAGATCGAGGCTACCTCAGAAGGAGGGTCCTGGTAGGGATCCAGTCTTACACATTACAGTATACCTGAGAAGATCCTTGGATCCCTTGGGCCTAGGGAACCGGTCTGGGACTGGGACAAACGCTCCCTCCTGTTTTCAGCACCTCCCAAACGGTTCGGTGTGACCGGAACGAAGCGGTTCGGGACGACAACGGAGCCCAGTTGGACAGTCCTGGAATCGGACGTCGTGCAAACCACCGGTTGGGTCTTCGATTTTCATGGTCCTCCAAGAATAGATAGAGCCCTTCGGTTTCATTGCGCCCTAAGAATCCGGGCCCTCAAACAGATAGGGTTTGGTTCGGCCCCGGACCCCTGCCATGAGGCTCCGACCCCTGCCATGGACAGCCCAAGGATTCTTAGGGCGGAAAAAAAACACGAAAGACATCGAAAGACCAGATCTTGTAGAAGCACCAGTTTTCAGTGACCAACCCGGGTCGGTTCAGTCGGATGTGTTGACATTTTTCTCTCAAATTATTCCTCCCAAGAGGATCCAAAAGGCCGGAGATACATGAGATGAACCAACTCCCCAAATACCCAAATACGTTGGGCCGCCCCAGATCTCACCCAGTGGTCTGGTGATTGTTGTTTTTTTTCGGTCTCGCATCTCACCTAAACGCCACCCATCTGGGACTGCCAGGACGGACTGCCGGTGTTCTCGGCTCCCCGGCTCCATGGGCCCGAGAGACAGGGCGCGCGCCGTACCGGCGGAGGTTCCGATGATTTCAGAGAGGAAAGCCGTTCAGAGAGAGAGAGAGAGAGATGAACAAAAATTGTTTGAGCTGCGGTGGATGTAGAAGTGGAGTTCTCCAATTCAATGTAAAGATTGAAATGTAGAACCGTTCCGGGGGGGCTCAGGGTTCATTGATCAACCGTCTACCTAAAGCAAGGGGCTGGGGAACTTAATTACCATGGTCGCTCCGACTTCCAGCTTCCTGTGACCCAAGGACATGGATTTGAAGGAGCGCATGATTTTTGAGCCTTTAGTTTCTCAGACATCAGCGTTTGTTCCATCTTTCAGGGCCAAGAGGTGTAGAATTGACATTGCGTTGATGTTTTTTGCATGTCGTGAAGAAAACACTATCTCAACGGAGGAAACACAACCATAATGCAGGAACGGATGTTCCAAAATATATGCTAAGATCTATATAGTACATCGTCGTTTTCTGTCGGATTCGACTCAACATCCGGTTTTTCCCACTCTGCAGTTCGAGCAATACAAACATCAATCATATATCTGGAATATATATATATATTAATATTGTATATTCATGATTGTTCATATAGTACAAGAATTAATTGTAGTATGTTTTTTAAGCATAAGAACACATAATTAATAATAAACACAAATCACTGCATTTTTGTGATATAAGATCTATGGGCCGTGTCGCAGCTCCAAATCTCTTCCTTCTCCGCGTTTGATCCCAAATGGCGGTGAATCTGTCCCTGTCGAGCCGCCACAATCTCTGTCGCCCCCAACAATCCTTCCTTGACCATTGGCCCCTCAAAGCATCCTACATGAAGTGTCTGGAAAATATGCCTGCTGTCCGGACATCTCTCTGACATCTCTCTCTTTTCACGCATTGGCCGCGTTGGCCCACAAAAAACGCGAACACATCATCACTGGAAGTGGTTCCACCGCCCGTTGTCTGTAGGTAGAGGAAAAGTCTCTATTCTCAGGGGTCAGTTTCCACTTCCGCGTGATGTGTTCGTTTAAGGAACTTGTTCCCCACCGCTAGGTGCGGATTTTCAGTTTTTTATCAGAGCTCTTCTCCTTCTCCTCCTTCTCCTCCGCCTCTTCGCCAGCAAGTGACAGCAAGTGGTAGAGCGCAGTGGGCACTCAGGACCTCAACCGTAAGTGCCAGATCGCGGTGGGCACTACAACCGCAAGCGCTAGATCGCGCTGGGCAGTGTCGGACCTCAATAGCCAGTGCCAGATCGCATTGGGCACTGCCGGGCCTCAACAGCAAGCGCCAGATCGCAGTGGGCACTATCGGACCTCAACAGCTAGTGCCAGATAGCGGACTGGACCACAACAGCAAGCACGACACAGCAGTGGGCACCGCCGAACCTCAACCGCAAGTGCTAGATCGCAACACACAACCGCAAACACAACGCAAATGCACAACCACAAACACAAAACCACAAACACACAACTACAAACACACAACTACAAACACAACCACAAAGACACAACCACAAACGCACGACCACAAAGACACAACCACCAGCACACAATTCACACAACCATAAAAGAAAACAACCACAAACACACAACCGCAGACACACAAACACAAACACAACACGCAAAAACAACCACAAACACGACGGCAGCAATAAAATTATCTGTGTGTGGCATTTGCACGGGAGGTGGTCACAGGGTAGCGCTTTCGAATGCCAACTGGTAGGGCGCATACTTTTCGGAAACCCTTGTGGGACACTCTTGCGCACTCTTGTGGGACACTTTGTATGACACTCACTCTTGTGGGACACTCTTGCGGAACACTCTTGTAGGACACTCTTGTAGGACACTCTTGTGGGACTCGTTCTTGTAGGACACTCTTGCGAAACACTCTTGTAGGACACTCTTGTAGGACACTCTTGTGGGTACTCACTCTTGTAGGACACTCTTGCGAAACACTCTTGTAGGACACTCTTGTGGGACTCACTCTTGTAGGACACTCTTGTAGGACACTCTTGTGGGACTCACTCTTGTAGGACACTCTTGCGAAACACTCTTGTGGGACACTTTGTATGACACTCACTCTTGTAGGACACTCTTGCGGAACACTCTTGTAGGACACTCTTGTAGGGCACTCTTGTGGGACTCACTCTTGTAGGACACTCTTGCGAAACACTCT